CCCCTCAGGCAGCTGTGCGGTGTGGCTCAGGAGTCCTGAGCTGGCTCGGACCTGCCCAACCTCACTTGGTTCCATTTTAAGGGCCTCTGAAGTCCGCCACAAATGTCCCCAGTCAAGCCAGGCTGACTTCCTCCCTGGACCAGGACACTGGGTCATTCTTGACTCAAAAGGAGAGTCCTCTGCTTTTATATCTATCCATGGAGATGCAGCTCAGTCTCACTTTGTTCATGAAGCCTTTTCTGACCTCTCAGATCACTCATTCCACCTGTCCATCCATCCATCTGTCCATCCATCTATGCATCTGTCCATCTATTCATCTGTCTTTGCATCCATCTATCATCTGCACATTCATCCATCCATCTACCTGTCAGTCCATCCATAGATCCATCCTGTCTACCAGGCACTGTGTTGTGTGCTGGGGACATGGTGTGGTCCCCCATGCTCTCACCCCCATCTCTCCCAGGTCATGGCCAACAAGGCACTCCTCATGGTCATGTCCAAGGTCCTTCTGCTGTACCTGGTGTCTCTGCTGGATGTGACATGGGACTGGCCCCTCTTTCCAGTGGCTCTTTTCCCCTTGGGGTCTGAGACTCCTCTTTCGTCTTCTCCTGGCATCTGTTTCTCCATGTCCCATGCCTGGCTACTGACTCCCCAGACCCCCACTCAGACCCCTTTCTTAGCCATCTTCACACTCTGTGACCCCCACTATTGCCCACATGGCGAGGCTGGAGTCTATCCCAGCTCCAGACCCTCTCAGCTCCACCTCAGTTGCCTACTGACCATGCCCAGTAGGTTACCCAACAGGACTCTCAAATTAATCACTTCCAGAGGAGATGACCACCTTCCCTCAGCCCAGCTCATTTTCCATCTTCATCTCATCACAATGACCATGGACTGTCTCAACCCCTCAGCCAGAAACCTGTAGTCCCTGGACTCAGTCACCTCGCCTCCCACACTGAAATGGCTTTTGCATCTGCATCTAGACATTCTTTTTTTTTTGAGACAGAGTCTCGCTGTGTTGCCCAGGCTGGAGTGCAGTGGTGTGATCTCATCTCGCTTCAACCTCCACCTCCTGAGTTCCTGGGTTCAAACGATTCTCATGCCTCAGCCTCCCAAGTAGCTGGGACGACAGGCATGCACCACCACACCCAGCTAACTTTTCTTTTTTTTTTTTTTTGAGACGGAGTCTTGCTCTGTCACCCAGGCTGCAGTGCAGTGGCACGATATCGGCTCACTACACGCTCTGCATCCCAGGTTCACACCATTCTCCTGCCTCAGCCTCCCCAGCAGCTGAGACTACAGGGGGACTGTGCCATGCCCGGCTAATTTTTTGTGTATTTTTAGTAGAGACAGGGTTTCACCATATTAGCCAGGATGGTCTCGATCTCCTGACCTCATGAACCGCCCGCCTCGGCCTCCCAAAATGCTGGGATTACAGGAGTGAGCCACCGTGCCCGGCTACACCCAGCTAACTTTTCTGTTTTATAGAGACAGGGTGTCACCATGTTGGCCAGGTTGGTCTCGAACTCCTGATCTCAAGTGATCCACCCACCTTGGCCTCCCAAAGTGCTGGAATTACAGGTGTGAGCCACCACACCTGCCCTCCAAAAATCTTTACTTTTTTAAAATTATGAGAATGTAACATTTAAGATAATTCAACAATGGAGTAGTGCATTTAAGAAGTGTAATATTGGGCCAGGCACAGTGGCTCACGCCTGTAATCCTAGAACTTTGGGAGGCGGAGGCGGGCAGATGGCCTGAGCTCAGGAGTTCCAGACCAGCCTGGGCAACATGGTGAAACCCCATCTCTACTAAATACCAAACAACAACAACAACAAAAATTAGCCGGGCGTGACTGTGCGCCTATAGTCCCAGCTACTTAGGAGGCTGAGGCAGGAGAATTGCTTGAACCCAGGAGGCACAGGTTGCAGTGAGCCCATCTCAGGCTCTCAAAGTGCTGGGATTACAGGCATGAGCCACCACACCTGGCTCCTTTTTTTTTTTTTTTTTTTTTTTTTAAATAATTGCAGTAAAACATACATAGCATTCATATTTTCACTTTAACCATATTTAAACGTACAGCTCTGTGGCACTAAGTACATTCACACTGTTGGGCAACTTCACCACCGTCCATCTCCAGAACCCATTCATCTTCCCAAACAGAAACTCTAAACCCAGTAACTACAGTCCCCCATTCTTCCTTCCCCCTCGCCCTGATAACCTCAAATCTACTTTCTGTCCAAGTGAATTCGCCTATTCTAGGGACCTCATAAAAGTGAATTCAAATGACAATTGTCTTTTTGTGTCTGGTTTATTTCACTACGTATAATGTCTTCAAGTTTCATCCATGTTGTAGAAGACTTCCAAAATTAATTTTAAAATAATTAATATTTTAAGCCTATTAAGACCTATTAAAAGTAGTAGAGCCAGACACAGTGGCTCACGTCTGTAATCCCAGCACTTTGGGAGGCTGAGGCGGGTGGATGGCTTGAGCCCAGGGGTTCCAGACCTGCCCAGGCAACATGGTGAAACCTCATTTCTACAAAAAATTATCCCAGTTTGGTAGTGCATGCCTGTAGTCCCAGCTACTTGGGACACTGAGGCAGGGATATTGCTTGAGCCCAGGAGTTGGAGGCCAGCCTGGGCAACATAGTGAGACCCCATCTCTAAAAAAAAAATAAAACAAATAAATTTACAACTAAATATAAAAAGTGATACACAATCTATTTCTTAAAAACAGTGAAAATATCTTTTCATAAGCTATGAATAGAAGAGATATTTACTTGATAGGAGATATTTACCAGAGTTCTACAGTAATAATCAGTTTTTTTCTTTTTTCTTTTTCTTTTCTTTTTTTTTTTTTTTAAAGACAGGGTCTCCCTCTGTCACAGGCTGGAGTGCAGTGGTGGGATCTCAGCTTACTGCATCCTCAACCTCCCAGGCTTAAGCAATCCTCTCACCTCAGCCTCCTAAGTAGCTGGGACCACAAGCAAGTACCACCATGACTGGCTAGTTTTTATATTTTTTGTAGAAATGGGGTGTTGCTGTGTTGTTCAGGATGATCTCAAACTCCTGGGCTCAAACAATCCTGCCTCAGCCTCCCAAAGTTGTGGGATTACAGGCATGAGCCACTGCACCTGGCCCATAGTATTTCTGTAAGATTTCTAAAGATTATAAAAACTCATATTCATATCCCCCCAGCAAAATACCTTTTTTTTTTTTTTTTTTTTTTTTTTTTGAGAGGGAATCTCATTCTGTCACCCAGGCTGGAGTGCAGGGGTGCAATCTCAGCTCACTGCAACCTCCACCTCCCGGATTCAAGCGATTCTCCTGCCTCAGCCTCCCGAGTAGCTGGGACTGTAGGCTCATATCCAGCTAATTTTTGTATTTTTAGTAGAGACGGAGTTTTGCCATGCTGGCCAGGATGGTCTCGATCTCCTGACCTCAGGATCTGCCTGCCTTGGCGTCCCAAAGTGCTGGGATTACAGGCATGAGACACAGCACTTGGCCCATAGTATTTCTAAGATTTCTAAAGATTATAATGTAAAAACTTTATTAATATCCCCCCAACATAATACCAATGTTATTATCTGTGTCTCCCTCCACCTGTCACCTGTCCCTTGTGGAGACCCCTGGGGCCTTCCCCATCCCAGTCTCTGTTCTGCAGGCATCACCCTGCATGTGGCTGTCTCCTCACCCAGCCCCCGCTCCTTGTAGACTTGAATTGGGGCAAATCTAGATCCTCTGGGACCTCAGCCCCAGCACAGAGCCTGACCCTGATGGGGACTCCTTGCCCAGAAGTCCGTGCAGGACACTGAGACCTGGTCCTGGCCCGCCACTGTGCTGATCCCGCCTCCATGGCCGGGCTCCTGGCGTAGGTCAGGTTGGCTGCCGCTGCTGGAGCTCTCACCACAGCCACCCCAGCATCCTCTGGGTGGGTGGGAGGTTGAAGGCCCTCACTGATCAGGGCCCCTCAGATTGCAAAAGGGGAAACTCAGGCCCAGCGCGGTGGCTCACGCCTGTAATCCCAGCACTTTGGGAGGCCGAGGCAGGCAGATCGCCTGAGGTCAGGAGTTCCAAACCAGCCTGGCCAACATGGTGAAACCCCATGTCTACTAAAAAAATACAAAAAATTAGCCGGGTGTGGTGGTGCGCACCTGTAATCCCAGCTACTCCAGAGGCTGAGGCAGGAGAATCTCTTGAACCTGGGAGGTAGAGTTTGCAGTGAGCTGAGATCGCGCCATTGCACTCCAGACTGGGCAACAAGATGAAACTCCGTGAAACTTTGTTTGAAGAAGATGATGAAAAGGGGGAAACTCAGGCCCCAGAGGTGCACGTGTCAGCTCCGTCAGCTTAGAGGATGGGACAGGAAAGAGCTAGAGGCCATCCAGCTTGGGCCTTAGAATCTGTGCCCATGAGCTGAGTGACTTGGACGGGTTGCCTCACCTCTCTGGGCTCTATCCCCATCTGCACAAAGGGGATCACAGCGGGACCTGCCTATGGGGCCAACAAGAGGAAGGTTCTGTCCCTGAAATGATGATCGCCTGTGGGTATAACGTGATCGCCTGTGGGTACAGCGTGATCGCCTGTGGGCATAAAGTGATCACCTGTGGGTACAACATGATCGCCTGTGGGTACAACGTGATCGCCTGTGGGTACAACGTGCACCAGTGATGACCAGGCTGTTGTGTCCCAAGTAGTCATAAATGGACCCAGATGCTTGGTGCTTTGTCCAGGGACCTCCCACCACACGCAGAGTGGTGGCAAGGGCTGAGGTCACACAGGGAGTTGTGGCCTCCCTAGACCCTCTCCTGGGCTTCTTCTTTGGAGGCACCTACACCGTGGATAAGCTTGGGTCTCCTAGGGGCTGGTTTCAGGAGGCGATGCTGGCTAAGGTCTAGTGACCCAGGGACTCCAGGAAAGGCCCCTCACACATCAGCTGGAGCTCCAGGGAGTGGCCCCTGCCCAGTGAGGGTGGGAGTGGACAGGCGACATAGGCCAGGGGAAAGGGGGAGGAGGTGAGAGGAGGAGGGAGAAGAGGAGGAGGAGGAGGGGGAAGAAGGGGAGGCCTGGGCACCTTTCAGGGATAGTGGCCACCACCCCTGTGGACATCCTGCCCCTGCCTCTAGTCCTGCCCTACCCCAAGTACTAGGGGGAGGTAAGGGAGACATTGGCCTTCGTGCCAAATGTAAGGGGTGGGGGCAGAAATCTCAGGATTCAAGATAAATAATATTTTAATATGACATTAAGCAATAAAAATTAATTTAAACAAATCCATGATGGAAAAATACTAACACTTCAGTTAAAGTCAGTGTGCCTCTGGCTCCCCTCCAGGGATTAACCTTCCTCCTCCCCCCTCTGGCTTGTCTCCCCTCAATCATCCTTTCCCGCCTCTGCCGCCAGACCCCCACATCCCCGGGAATCTCTCACCCCTTACCTGCCCCACCTCCTCCCCCTCTGGCTTGTCTCCTCAATCATCCTTTCCCGCCTGCCGCCAGACTCTTCACACTTCGGGAATCTTCACTCCCCACCTGCCCCACCAGCTCCTCAGGCTGACCTGCCGTAAGACCTGCTGCTTCCTCCAGGGGCTCCAGGGCCCAGGGCTCTGCTCTGCGGTGCAGCCGTTGGGTGCACCAGGCCATGGGTTACCAGCGCCAGACCCAGCAGCAGCAGGGGCCAGCGTTGCCTGAGGTTGGGGCCTGGCTCACCAGGGTCCTCACGGCCCCCCTGGCCTGTCCCTGGCCTCATCGGCCCTCAGGGTCGGAGGCCCTTGTGGCCTGACTTGCAGCGTGGGCTTCCTGGAGAGTGGTGCCCCGGTCTCTCGCTGGCAGCAGCTGTCCCAGGGCACCCCAGTCCATGTGGCCCCATCCTCATCCTCTGGTCCCTGCCCCCAGCCAGGCCCCTTCCAGCATCCATGGCCGTTACCCCTGGGGTTCTGTCCCAGAGGCACATCTGCCAACTGCCCTGCTGTGGTCAGGATCCAGGGCTCAACTGCCTCCCACACCTGTGGGCTTGGCCTTGCCCCTGGGGCCCTGGGTGCTTTGTTCAGGGACCTCCCACCACAGGCAGAGGGTCGGCAAGGGCTGAGGTCACACAGAGAGGTGGGCTGCACCATGGCCCCCCAAGACCCTCCCCTGGGGCTTTCCTTTGGAGGAACCTGCACCCTGGATGGGTTTGAGTCCCCTCGGGGCTGGTCCCAGGAGGTGATGCGCCTGACTTCCCTCCTTCCCCGAGGGTGCCCTGGGTCTGTGGAGCATCTCACTGGGGTCCAGAGAGCCGCCCAGCAGGAATCCCCCAGGGCTTGAGCTCAGGGGGCTGGGCTGAGGCTCCTCCAACCAGCCCTGGAGGGAGGTGTGGTTAGAGAGGGGGAAACAGGTTTGGGGTTAGCTAGAAGTCACTCAACGGTTCAAGTCCAGGAATCATGAGGTAAGAACGAAAATGCTGTTTAATGTACCACATTCAGCGCCTCACAGACCTCACATCACACAGACACACAGACACAGAGACACACAGACACACACACACACACACACCCCACCCCAGCTTCCTGAAGGTATAATTGACAAAACTGTATATATTTACCACCTACAGTGTGATGCTTTGCCACACTGTAAAATGATTAAATCAGGCTGACTCACACGTCCATCTCCTCACATGCTTATGCTTTTGTAGTGAGAACACGGAAGATCTAATCTTAGCAATTTTCCAGTATACAATACATTTATTAACTGTAATCTCCATGTTGTACGGTACATCTCCAGAGCTCATTCTTACAGATTTCACTCAGAGGCCAGTAGCTTCCTCCCGAGCAGTGAGCGCGTCATGTCATGGCTTCTGACAGGCCCCCGGCTCCTTTCCCAGCCTGGCATCCCCAACCCTCTCCCAACATCTCGGGACCCTGTGCTTTGGTGGTGGGGGGAGCAGTGGCAGTGAGGAGGGACTGAGCACTCTCCTCCAGAGGTGGGGCTGGAAATGCTGTCGGCTCTGCTCGCTCTTCAGGACCGGGTTGAGGTTGGTGTTGGGAGATAATGCATGTCAAAGTGTTGTTTTCTTCATTTGTAAAAAAGTAGTAACATACACATGACCTAAAATTTATCATCTTGACCTTTTTTTTTTTTTTTTTTTGAGTCTTGCTCTGTCACCAGGCTGGAGTGCAGTGTGGCACGATCTCAGCTCACTGAAACCTCTGACTCCCTGGTTCAAGCAATTCTCCTGCCTCAGCCTCCTGAGTAGCTGGGATTACAGGCATGCACCACCACGCCCAACTAATTTTTGTATTTTTAGTAGAGATGGGGTTTCACCATGTTGGCCAGGCTGGTCTCGATCTCCTGACCTCATGATCCGCCCGCCTGGGCC